CGGCGCCGGACATGACGTCACGGCACCGGCCGATGGAAAGAGGAGGGGGGGGGGGGTCGACAGCCCAAACGCACGTCGGCGATGGCCAGGGCCTTGGTGGTGATGGTGGCGCCCAGAGGCGAAGATGAAGATGAGGACATGGTGGTGGTGTCGGCGGTGGCATCAGAGGGCAAGGGCGCAGGTGAGGGCCTAGCCCATCATGACGTCAGTCGTCCCGAGGAACGATGCCCTGCGCAACAACAAATATAAATATGTTGCCGGAGAGAATAAAATACCTTTTGAAGAGCCGTCGCCGCCGACACACACCTTATGGGCGACTTGAAGAGCATGACGAATACTGGATGGCGAGAGATGGGGACGGGACGGGACGGGACACAGGCGCTGTTGACGGCGGCTCGCCGTGGCACGTGGTTGACGTCCGACTGTGGTCCGCGACGCGCGTCCGTGCTGCTCGCCGGTCTGGGCTGGACTGACCACTGCTTCACGCGCCGGCCACCGCTAACGCGCTAGCGCTAGTGTCGCTGGCGCGGTGCGGCGGCCGCAGCTGGGTGGAGTGGAGAGGCGGGAAGGAGGCAGGTAGGTTGCCTATCACACCGGCGCCAATGTCACGGGCCGTGACAGCGCCCTGGCCGTCATGGGAGCTCCGCTCGGCCGCGGCGGCAGTACGGCAGCCTCGAGTGTGATGTCGGAGGGAATGCCAAAATGTTCCGCGTTTCAAAATCGTCCCGCAAGAGCGAGCCACCTGGCCACTTCCCTCCTCTCTCTTTTTCGTCACCGCATTGCCTGTCGTGTCGTTTAGACGTCGGAGTACGTGCAGGAGCCCGTAGTGGCTGAGCGTTAGTGTCTAAAGTTCTCAGATGTAACGTTTAAAACGTTTAAAACGTTTAAAACGTTTAAAATCCAAATAGTAAAGTTTTTGGCAAATTCTATTTTGTTCCTTTTTTCCATTGTGAATGTAACAGGTTGAAAGTTTGTTTCTGGGTGATTCTCAGAACACGGGCCGTTTAGATACCGCGGCCTTTCACAACTATGTGATATGGTTTTAAAAGGGTTTTATGCCATCTAGATACTCGAAAGCACTAACATTACTTGGTGCAACACTAAAAACCTAAGAATACTGCAACATTGGGTGACTCCAGCAGTTTAAATGGTCAAACCCAGTGCGAAATGAATTTTAAGCGATATCGAATCGATATCAGAACGATATCGTTTTCAAGTTTCTGACTCAGAACTGATACTAAAATGGGCCCGAAATCGACACTTTTCTGATGTCCGATATAGTTCTGATGTCAATTTGATATCCGCATTTCTCACTGGGAAATGTGAACTCGAGTACGTTCCTAACGTTCGAGTCCATGCGGACTTTGCCAAATTCTCGCAAATTCCTGTTGTTTTAGTAGCAGGTTTGGGAGATTTTGGAAGGAGAACTCCGTTCAATGTTCAGATTCACTTGGATAAGATTTTAATAGCACGTCCGTACAGTACAACACACAAGAGCTGAGTGAGAGGAACAGGAACAGGAAGTGTACACCATAATAACATGGAGCCTGCCAAGGAGGCTATGAGTATGAGAATTACTGGTTACATAAGTGGTGCCCTGATCGAGGCTATATACATATGAGAAATCTTCAGAGCACATCAGGCATACTTAAAGCTATATTTACAAGTAGAGAAATTGCATATTACAACAATTCCGGACAATTTTAAGGGAATAGTCATCTAAGGCACATTGCATTTTTGGAGTGACATATCGAGGGAACGCAAGGAATGAATTTCGATGTGGAAATATTTTTCTATATTTCGTCACGAGACGACCAAAATCGTTCTCACTAACTCTTTCAAAAAGCAACGGAGTTCACAATGTTTGCACTGACGTCAAACTGGGCAGAGGTAGAGTAACAATTCTACGCCCACAGTACTACTCTGTGGGGACTATTAATGTTCCCCGAAGCAATTGGCAGAGCTCTTACAACGTCATCGTGAAAAACGGTCTTCAAATTGGAAAGTTGGCTTGTACGCTTTTGCAGTGTGAATACCGTGTCGCCTCCACACAGGCACGATTGCGTCATTATCAAATCCCTCTTTCGCTGAAAAGGAACATTTTGATGTGCTGCTTCTATTGTGGCTAAGCGGATCGTTGCATCTGCAACCCCGGATTAGAAATGCTTCAATTAGTACCTTCTGACTTGTGAACTCCGTATCCCCTTTTTTAGGTCTGACCTTTGATTAATAACTTTCAGGTACAGGCAACGCGTTGTGATGACCTAATGAGAAAATATGTAGTAAGGGGTTAATTTAGAACTGTACATTATGAGGTTGGGCACCTGTGCAGCAGAGTCGGGGCGAAAAACAAGTTATTTATTGCAATGTTCTAGTTATACTAAAACGCATAAAATGGGGTTGACTGGATGTAAAATATGAGTACAACACACTAGTGGAGCAAACAAAAGACCAATTAAAAGGTGCGGGAGGCAATATTTGAGTTTCATCATTGATTGAACGTGACCACAATATGGTCTTTTAACTTTGTACTAGAAGTACGTGATTTGAACCATCGCCACTTTCCACATATCCTATTTGAAGGTAAATAAAACCATTGCGACCAAAAAAAAAAAACAGCAAATTCGAAAAAAAATAAAAATAAATTAGGAACTCCCAAACGGCCCGTATTCTCAGAATCACCCTTCTACTTTTTGTGTTGTCATTTTGAGTTCTCAGTCGTTATTAGAATTGGGAGTGTGATGACTTTTGATCTCTACAACTGAGGGGAGCATCGAAAAGCGCCGGGCCTACCTGCACGAAGCTGACATGACAGGTCACTGGATGGGGGCCGGTCCTCAAAGGCACGCGCCGCAGGCTCGGACGATAAGCGCCACGGCCACAGTCCCAAGCCACCCCTGCCCTTTCCCGCCACTTGATACGAAAAGCACCGCGTGCATTGGACTGCCCACCTCGCAGGCGGTTGGAAGGTGTCAGTGATTATGCACACAAGAAGGTTAAAACCTTGTAAAGCTGAGTAAAATGTGCGTCTTCCTTTACCTGCGCGGCCTACCACGCCGCAAAAGTCAAAATTAATTTTCATGTTCAACTGAAGTTTTATTCAAATGACGCCTTCGAAGTCCCTATGCTGCCCTTGTACCTGCTCAATGGTGACCTTGTTCTAAATAAACATGGTGTTTTCAAAAAAAGCAAACCTAAATTAACAAACCTAACTCAATACAGTATATCAGTTTTAATATTATCTATGCATCTAGTTGTCAAAACTAGAGGCAAGCCTAAACTGACAAACCTAATTCAATACAGTAAATCAGTAGCGATATAATCAATCAAAGTGTTTTGAGATATCAGTTGGCCCGTCCAGGGCACGAGTGAGTGCCAAGAGCGAGAGCCCCGGCCCGCGGCAGGCCGGGCTCCCCCGGTACCGATCGTCGTCGGGCGCGCGGCGATTTTCGTGCTTTTCGGGCCGGGTGCGGTTCCCCCGGCCTCCGCATTAACGCGCTAGCCCCCACGGTTGATCCACCTCATAATCCCTGCACCAGGTAGGCACGGCGCTTTTTGAGCCCCCCCCCCACAAATGAATGACAGATTAACACTAGAACTACCGGCGAGGGGTGAACAACTCAGCTGAGACGGGGACAGAGGAATATATTACAAGGTAATATATGTAATACAGGTAATACTGGTAATATCAATGTATTACAAGTATTGCAAGGTATTACAAGAATTACAAGGTAATACAAAGTAATACTACATGGTATCACAGGTATTACGAGGTAATACAAGTCATACA